TATTCTCAGATCTATTGAATATACGCACAAAATTTCATAAGAATCGGTCAAGTCGTTTCGGAGGAGTATGGTAACTAACATTGTGACACGAATTTTATATATCAAAAGATATATTTTGAACAGACTTTTATAGTGCAGTAAAATTTTGAAATTACCACGATGTAAAACAACAACAGATAATGAAAAAATAAAAACGACCTATCTGTGTAGATTTTTATTCTCTACAACTTTTATTTGAATTATTTTTTCATATTTCTTACCGTTACCGAGTTATTTTGAAAAACAGCGTTTTTACGACCCTTTTTTTAATTTTTTCATCCCTTTTCCGTCAATTTAAACAAAAATTTCTATTAATTAATTTAATTTACTTATTAATTTTTAATATTATTATTGATGTATTTGCGGACTTATTTTCATATATTTTGACGATCTCGGTGGTCTAGCGGGTTAGCACACCGCTTTACGTCGATGGTCGCGGGTTCGATTCCACAAACATTTGTATTCATGAGTAAGATTGTTTGTAGCGGTCTGGGTGTTTTCTATGTATGTATAATATGTATGTATTTACGAAAAAAAATATCTATGTATTTGTATCAGTCATCTAGTACCCATAACACAAGCTTTAGCTAGCTTAACTTGATCTAGATGGCGCTGTGTGAATTGTTCTGAGATTATTATCATATTATACTATTCTTATTTTTCTTTGTATTATATTGTATTTAGAAACTGGTCACATCATGTCGTATTTAAAATTTGACTGGACTATTAGTGTTGCTACCACTTACGAAACAGTAATGTTATGGTGGACCCAAATTTTGCAGAAGGCTATGTAACCTCGATGATGTATTATATAATTATGGGAGTGAATTAAGTATAGCAATTTCACATTTTGGGTCACGTCGTTAGCAAGTCTACATCAATCAAAAACCAGCATATACTTTCCTCCGTATATTTATAATACTCCCATCTCTTTAATTACATGGAGTGTTTGTATTCTAGATTGTTCTACGACAGAGGTCCTCAACTTTCTGTATCGTAGACCCCTTGCCACATTTTTCGGTTTTGGGTAGACCCGCCATTCTTAGCTGGTATAGATTTTTTGTAAATTTCTAATTGTAGTAATGTTTAGTGTTAAAAACATAAAGTAAAAACAATAAGATGACTGCTGTCGTAGACTCCTTATAGACCACTTTGGGAATCACGGTTCTACGAGGTTTGGGGCTCGAGTTTCCTCTTAGGTTTTAGACTGAAACCACAGTTTTAGATGAGAAGAACTGAGTATAGGTACTGTTATAGTGTTCTGTATGAGTATCTAAATGATGAATATATATAGAATAACTGTATTTCAGTATATTATATTATTATATAATACACTGAAATACAATGACGAACTATCTAAAAGACAATGAATAAAAAAAGTGAAATATATCAAATAAAATCATTACATAGTATAAAACAAAGTCGCTCCGTCTCTATGTATGTTTAAATCTATAAAACTACGCAACGGATTTCGTAGCGGTTTTTTTTAATAGATAGAGTGACTCAAGAGAATGGTTTATATGTATATTACACGTACACTCGTGCGAAGCCGGGGCGAGTAGCTAGTAAGAAAATAATGTAAAAAACTTCATTTTTTTACCAATTCTTCTCAATTGTATACGGAACTGGACGGTAGGGAAAATATGAATACAAAAACTTGACGTTCATAAGCGGCTAAAATAAATTAATGATTTTCGATTTGATTTGATGTAACAGTATAAATTTCGTGCACTTTATCATACCTTTGTTACTAGAAATTACTGATAGACATTTCATAATATCTGCTCCATTGCAAGAAGCCAGGAACGGCGGAAAGCGCAACCCTGGCTTTTCCAGATCATTGGACCGATAAAATATTTAATTTCAACTGAAGGGGAATTATGAAATCTGAGCTCGCTGATCGGTCGGAATCTATTAATTGCTTAGATTATTGTTATTTTTTTATAAGATAAAGACCTCGGTGATCTTGCCGTTTAGCACACCGCCTTACTTCCGCGTGGCGGGTTCGATTCTTCGCACGGCACAAATATTTGTATTCATGAGTATGATTGTTTGTGTCGATCTGGGAGATTTCTGTGCATAATGTGTATGTATTTACAAAATAAAATATTTATGTATTTTTATTTTTATTCTTATATATGTTTAGGGACTGTTATCATAATATGATAATGCCAGACCCATCGTATCTTATTACTAATCTTATATTCTACAGTACAATGAAAATAAAATTTTTGCTGGCGATGATACAGGATCAGATACGGTGGTACGTATCAACATCAAGCCGATTCGGTCCAAATATTTTTAAAAACAATCTATGTATATATAACAGTATTTAGTACCTATAACACAGGCTTTAGCTACCTTAACTTGTGTCTAGATGGCGCTGTGTGATATGTCTTGAAATAATATTTCATATTTAAAATATTTATAAGACCTAATATTTAGGTTCTTAGTTGTACAATTAGGTTATATTTAGAATACCACAGTTAATTTTCTAATTCAGGCCTTAATAATTTTAGGGACTAGTCTACTCTGATATATATGACTGAATTTGTTACTCAAACAGCTATTACATTTATCATTTTTGCTATTTGTTTCTATTCACACAAAATCCTAAACAACCGCTGAACAACATTTATTTAAACGAGCAACTCGCAATTTTTTGCTAGTTATAATTATTAATTATTGTACTTTTAATTTAAATTCATTTTATTCACCAAAATAATCTGTACGAAAATATCCTATAAATATTTTTAAAGAAAATATTCCATTGAGGTGGAGCTGCGATATAAAACTTACTACTGTTATATATCGCATTATATAATAAAATTAATTTAAATTAAAAGTAGAATAATTAATTCTACTTTTAATTTAAATTCATTTTATTCACCGAAATAAACAGTAATCGTGTAAATTATTTACTCATTCCCGTAAAATATGAGTACAGATCTAGAAACTGCAGATTGTGATACATATTTCATTTCAGTTGTTTTAATTTATTACTTATGTTTTGTAATATAAATAGTATAAAGAAGAACATAATTAATTTAAATGTTAATATTTTTAATAATTCAGAATAAATATGAATGTGGATGGATGTAAAGGGAGGGGACGCCCTAAGAAAAGATAATAATAATAATCTTAGGACAATTCACACAGCGCCATCTAGACCCAAGTTAAGCTAGCTAAAGCTTGTGTTATGGGTACTAGATAACTGATACAAATACATAGATATTTTTTTTTATTTGTAAATACATACATATTATATATAGAAAACACCCACACCGATACAAACAATCATACTCATGAATACAAATGTTTGTGCCGTGCGAGGAATCGAACCCGCGACCATCGGTCTTAAAGCGGTGTACTAGACCGCTGGACCACCGAGGTCGTCAAAGTTTAGATGGATGGATTGTGTGAAAGATGATATGAATAAAAAGAGAGTATGCTCAGATATGACAACCGATAGAGAGCAGTGGAAGAGAATGACATACTGCGACGATCACAAATAATGGGATAAAGGCAAGGCAATGATGTATGATGATTTTTAATAATTCAGCACAAATTTTACTTGTTTAATTAAAATATTATTCTTGATTATTAAAACTTTTATTATATACTATTGTAATTTTATTTTATATGTGTATAGGTAAAATGGAAACTATAGAAAAAGACTTGAAATACGTAGATATGTTGGGAAACTATCGACAAGACAGAAATAAAGTATATAAAATTTATAGTTCATAAACATTAATATAATTTTAGAATAAAGAATATATTTCTGATTAACCAGATACAGCCTATATATAAGAGATTAGTTTTATTTCTGGTTTATCAACCACTACTGTAAACTATTAAACACGTCCTGGCTTCGCACGGGTTGACATTTTTACAACATTTAATATTTTTATCATATCCTACCTAATTAAATTGACTAAGGTTTATATTTTAGTAAGGTTTATTATATATATATATATATTTAACGATAATAGTTGGACACATAGTACCACAAAGTTTTTTGTAGTTATTGATATATTCTTCAATATTGTAGAACGTATTTTTGTTCTATCACCAATAGTTTCCGCAGCGCACGCGAAGAAAGATTATTTAGCATGTTTTTTTACGTCTTTAGTTACGTTACTAAAGTTTTGGTAAGGATCCCAAATATTTTCCAGCAATAAATATAAGCTATGTTACTCAGGGTGAATGTAGCTTTTTAATGATGAAAGAATTCTGAAAATCGCCAAAGTTTCAAAAATCGTTTGAGTTTATTCATTACAAACATAAGTCACATTAAAACACAAAAATACAAATCTTCCCTCTTTATAATGTTAATGTAGATTACTTATTCGCATCCAATTATTATTACAGATATTATTATTATTATTATTACTGCATATTTATTAATATATCATGTTTCTTTTCGAAATTAATATAAAAATTACCATAACTAAATATAAGCTTACAAACTTATATTTAAATCAGTTAGCTAATATTAAAATATAAAAATATTTTGTTTATAAAAATGTTTAGTTATTATTAAGTAAAGTAGTAATAATGATGAAATAATTCTATTAAATATGATAATCTTATTTATGTTTATGAAATGTCCAAAAAATCCATTATACTCTTGTAAGTATTATAAATATATTAAAACATATAATAATAATAATTTTTCAGTACATATATACTTCAATTAAATATTATTTATTAATGTGTATTATTTACTATGTGGTGTGTTATCGTTACACTATCCTACTTTGTAACATATTATATTTATTAGTTCCAATAAAGAATTATTATTATTATTATATATTTTCAGATTTATAATATCAATAGATAAATACCGTATATATATATTAATTTAATATTAATACAAGCATAAATTAATATAGAACTGTTCAAGTATAATATGTTTTTTTTAATTTTTATTTTAATTTAAAAAATAGTTTATATACCTTTTCATTTCTCCAAAAATAATATTTTCCTCAACAATGGCAGTTCACAAATCCGTACGCACTATACTGTTAATGTTTCAGTAATAAAACAACAGAACAGCATCCTATAAATTCACATGCGATTCCAGAACGCCGTCGGAAAGTTCGAAACTTTTGTCGGACGAGGAATGAAGTCGCTGGCTAACTTTGAACGCGACGCGCAAAGCTCGCGGCGATCGGCGAGGCACTGTTTTAGTACACAGCCACCCGCCGCTACCGTACCACGGATAGGATCCAGTTCGTTACATAGTAAGATCGGAATTTGATCGCAGTTAGACGGAATGAATGCGCACTAAGACAGCTCGTTGGCTATTTAGCCCGAAAAAGAAGGGAGGACAGCATGCGTGCGGTCGTTCAACCCCGCAGTGGATACCACCGATGAGTCCCAGTAAGTTACTGCGTTTTTGTTGCTACCTAGATTAATATTATATATTATAATGGAATAGAGAAAATTCAATTAAGTTGCACAACGTCAGGTAAAAGCAAATATATAATGTTAAAAAGTCTGTCTAGTGACTAGAGTTTGAGTTTATTTTTAACATTTCTAAATTAAAAAAAAGTACTAGTATTGGGAGACAAGCCAAGAGTCTCTGAAAGTAGCGTGTATGAGAAAAATTACAATAATAAACTTTCGTATGTCGATATCCCTGACATATATATACATAAATATATATGAAAATATTAATATATAAATCCCATAATGCTCATATAAAAAAACCCTAAGAAATATTACAGAGCGGCAGTTAGTCCCAAAGCTAAGGAGAGCTTCTGTTATATGTGCTGCAACTGAAAGAAATACTTAAATACATTATTTTATAACTAAATACATAATATATATAGAATACACCCAGATTAAATACATCGTGCTAGGAATCGAACCCACGACAATCGAAAGTGAGAAGTTGTGGTTAACCGCTAGACCATCGAAAAGATAAAAATTGGCAACCATAACTCCATGTGGCATTTTCATTTCATTTCAACACCAGCTAATCAATGGGTTAAAATAGAAAGCGGATGATAGGCACGGGTAGGAAAAGACAAACCTACAGTGTAAAATAACAATGCTACTCACATTGCACTAAGTCATATTTAAATTATTGAATCTATTAATAATGCAGACGTAATTGCAGTTTTAGTACTAGCAACGGTCCTATTATAGCGCCCTGGGGTACACTAAATTGTTTCGCTTGTAAAATTATAGCTACCAGTATATATATATGAATAGGTCGATACACGTTCGAGAAGTTGAATACTTTATTTCCCAATCCCAATCCAATCTCCGTAGCTTTTGAAAGTAGCCCCTCAGATGAATAAATCTGTGAATACGTAAGCAACTGTATCGGCCCAGATATCACTGATTTGAAGTTAATCGCTTTCGATTTAAACTTGGGCCTATAAAATATGTAGTGCCTTAATTTTAGTATAATTTATCATGAAGTAACATTTCAAATATGCCAATACTAGTGGCTAACTCTGTTCTTTTTACAGCGCAGGGGACAAACGAGCATGTACCACCCTGATGGTAAGTGATTACCAATGCCTATATACCTCGCAACCTCAGGGGAATAAAGGGGAAAGTGCGTTGTCGGCTTGCCATTAGAATAAGGTTTTTCTTGAAGGTTTCAATATCGTATTGGTTCGAAAACACCATTGCTGGAAGGTGATTCCACAATGTGGTTGTGCATGTATATGCATATTGGTAAATCTAATCCTCCAAATAAAGATGGGTGAAACTGCATGTTGTCAACTCACCCGGCCGGCCAGCGGTGGTTCTGGGCCAGGCGGATAAGGTCTGCCTCGGTGTCACTGTTAGGCAAATTGTAACATCTCGGTTGGAGTTGCACAAAAGTGGAAATTAAATAAATATTATAATATTAAAGTAAATTAAAAAAGGCACGGACGAATATATCTGTGGAAAAATGTATTTAAATATATAAAAAAAATGTGGTTGTGCGTAAAAAGTTTCTAGAAAACCGCACTGTGGAGGACTGCCATTCACCCAGATGATCAGGATGGTATTTTAGTTTCTAGCTGTTGGTACGGTGGTGAAACTCAGCAGCTGGTATTAATCTGCAGTACAGTTTGATTAGAATAGAAAATTATTTATTGAAATGAACTAAAATTGAAGCACTGTTGAATAGTCATACATATTTCTTATCTACCACTAATTCTGTCTCATCAATAGAAGAACGAGCTACAAACTTATATATTCTCTAAATATGTGAATACAAACGACAGCTAATCATCTTATATATAAAATTCTCGTGTCACAGTTTTCGTTCCCATACCTCCGAAACGGCTTGACCGATTCTTATGAAATTTTGAGCGTATTGAGTAGGTCTGAGAATCGGCCAATATCTATTTTTCATCACCCTAAATGTTAGGGGTAGTCCACTCCTAGGCAAAATTTTTAGTTTCTAATTTTTTATATACATACAAAAATACATACAATCCTAAATTTTCACCCTTCTATCATCAACCCCTATTTTTTTATAGCGTTATTAATTTATATGGCAAAACAATGTCTGCCGGGACAGCTAGTAATATATATTATTTTCTATAACATTACTTTCTCGTTCAGTAAAATTATCAGACATCCGTTATTATGACAATTTATTGAACGAAAAACGTTGTGATCACAAATAATTTATTCGTCATACATTTTATGAATAGAAGAGCAGCTAAAAGAGATTTCAGTTTGTGGTGATATGGATAAAAAGTGTTAGTAGCCGCGGCCTATTCAGTAACCGAATGAAAAGATCCCAAATCTTATGAATTGGTTCGCAAGTCATATTGCATGTTATTACTTACACCACAGTTCTAGAGGTATAAAATATTCACGTTTATGCCTCATGAATAGATAAGCTGTTCAATGGTTTTCAGTTGCTGATAAACAGGCTTCGTTGGACTCAAATATGTTATTATGTTGAGGTATACTAAATAGATCTCGTTAAAATCTTTACACGCATGATATTCAGGTTGACTCTCAGTTAGACTAATATTGATGTATCACCGATGCATCACAAATACGTGGAGAGTTTCAATAGAGGTTATAAATATTAAGGTTGTATTGTATTTATAGACACTAGACAGCGTCGGTGGTCTAGTGGTTTAGCACACCACGTTACTATCCGATGGTCGTGGGTTCGATTTCTCGCACGGTACAAACATTTGTATTCATGAGTATGATTGTTTGTATCGGTCTGGCTGTTTTCTATGTATAATATGTATTTATTTACAAAAAAAAATGTATACTTGTATTTATGTCAGTTGTCTAGTACCCATAACACAAGCTCTGCTTAGCTTAGGACTAGATGGCGCTGTGTGAAATGTCTGAGATATTATTATTATCATTTATATACAAATTTACTTCCCAAACCTAGAGGTTCTTTCTATAATCTCTACGATGATATACCAATATAAATCTTAATTGCATATAAATAAAAATGTGATGACTATTCAAAAGTGCTCAATGTTCAATATTAGTTCAATGTAAGTTTATTTGAATAAATGATTTTCTATTCTATTCTTCTTTCTATTGCATAGTTATAGTGTATTATTACTAATTTATTTCTTTAATTTTACATTATATATTTTATTTTATATGTATATTATGTATAATATATGTATTTATATACTATCCAACTGTCTTTTTCTCCTCTACCCAAAGGTTGTCTAGTAGAAATCGCTTAATCAATAAGATCGCCCTTTGTCCCTAGTACGTACCTACCTATATACTAGGAATATTGCTTCGTTTTGTATTTATATAAGGTGCAATAAGGAGTTATAAATAAAAATAAAGAAACAGGGCATAAAAATATTGCATATTGCATGATTGCATCGAACTATTTATAACAACGAGCTGGTTAAAATATGCTTTTTATAAATACAGAAAATCTTGTCGCCACCTGCCGTGATCGCTAAATAATTATTGGCTGACTGACTCTGAATTTGTAACATAATAACAGAATATTATTTTTGAGGAAAACATTGAAGCCTAATGATTTACTGTCCTGAATTACAATCAAGAGGTCTAAGTTCAATTCTGCTGTATTAATTCTTTGTCTCAATATAAAACACTTATATCAAAACAAAAATTAATCCGATAGTCTGTGGTAATAGGAATATAAATTCGAAATCAGTTTAATTGAAAATTATGAAGAAATATTTTCAACTAGCTTTTGCACGGCTTCGCTCGCGATAATATCCCCTTAGGGGTGGTATCAAAATCCTTTCATAGAAAATGATGTCAAGTGTAGCTTTTATGCATGCAAAGTCTCAGCCCGATCGGTTTAAAATTGACAAAGTTTCATACAAACTTTCATCCCCTATTTTATCCCCTTGGGGGTAGAATTAATCAAAAATCCTTTCTTAACGGATGCCTACGTTATAACATCTACCTGCATGCCAAATTTCAGCCCGATCCGTCCAGTGGTTTGGGCTGTGCGTTGATAGATCACTACGTCAGTCACCTTTGAGTTATATATATTTAGATACCTATTTTGAATGGAGAATTTACTGTACCTTTCTTAAGACGGCCATTTGCTTTTATAAAGACTATCTATATATGTTATACTATCTATATATATATTATAATACTATCTTAATTAAGAAATTTCTTTGAGTTCTTTGAGATAACTTGATATTGGCAGCTTGGCATTTAATAAAAGTCTATATTTTGCGCTATCCAATATGCATTATTAGTGATTTTATTAGAATAAAATTTTACATAGTATAAAACAAAGTCAGTGTCGCTGTCTGTCCGTCCCTATGTGTGTTTAAATCTTTAAAACTACAACGGATTTTGATGCGGTTTTTTTTTAATACATAGAGTTATTTAAAAGGAAGGTTTATATATATAATACATGTACGCCTGAGCGAAGACGGGGTGGGTAGTGAGTATTAGAATAAAATTAATTCTTCATAATAGTAATAACTCTAGCTAGTCGCCCCGGCTTTGAGCGGGTGTACATGTATTATATATATATGTATATATATAAAATTTCCTCTATAATACATAACTATATC